GTAATGTAACCAAGAATAAATGTTTTTTGTAACTTTAATTTTGAAAGAGTTTTGATATTGTAAGGAAATCAGCTGTATCATAGTGGAAAAATCACAGGAAAAGGATATTAAATTTGTAATATTAAATAAATATTTCATTTATAATGTTTAATATTTCTTATTTTGAAATATGATATTTTTTTCTTATTTCTTATTTCTACTAATACTTAACATATGCTATAATTGTCAAAAACGAAAATAGCATCCTCATTTTTTTCTATTTCATTTGTCCATTAAAAAAAAAATTTTTTATAGAAAAATTGTCTCTGCACATGTAGTTTATGCTATTTCCATATTTCACTCCTCATAAATGAATTTCACTCCTAAAAAAGTCAAGGAGTATTTTTACTCTTTCAAAAAAATCCTAGGAATAACACTGATCAACACTTATTGATAAAAATGTATTATATACCTGCATTCTTTAAAATTCACTCTAGTATTTGTTTACCATAGCGACATTCTGGCACTAGATTCACTTAAAAATTATTACTGTAAGTAAATTTGTATTACTGTCAGTTTGCGAGCAGCGCTTCAGTACAAATTTTAAATTTTCGGAAAATACAGTTAGTTTTTTCTTTATAAAACAAATTCTTATACACTATTAAGTAAATAAATCAAGAAAGATAATCATCTATGTATAAAGATGACACACTGAAAATTTCATATATGTATGACAAAAACAATTTGACTTATTAAAACTCGAAAATCAGCTAAAATTCTCACTTTTTGTGTTGCGCAAAAGTGATGACTCCCCTTCAGTATTATATTTCGTTCATATTATAACTCATAATGCACAAAATTTATATCATTTAAAGAATAGAATTATCTAATCGTTGCCACATTTTCTATTCAAATACTATAATAAAGCTAGAATGATGTATAAAAGAAATTAAGCAAACAAAACAAAAAAGAAACAGTTTTTGACAGACGATTGAGTATTTCTCATTTAATTAATTCAGTTCTCACTTCGCAAGAAGGCAAAAATACATAAAAACTCAAAATATCTATATTAAAAATTACGAAGTAAATCTTAAACACTTATTTCCTCGAAAAAATTCCAGAAAGAATTAAGCATGATTTAATTGGCAATAATAAATGAATGCGTTATCTTTGTTGTTGTGAAGCTAAGTTTCTCTAGATTGGCAACAAATCTACTAGTCTCCTGTTTCAAACGTAAACATCAATGGCCGCCATAAAAAAAAGGCTTAGCGGCACTTAGACAATAAAATTGTTGATAAGTCTAAAAATATTGCACACAGATTTACTAAAGGCATAAAAACCTTAACCGGAAGATAAAAACGACATAATACAATCAATTTTTAAAGCAAAAAATGTACAATTTACAAACATATAAGAGTAAAGAAACTGAGATCACTGAGCCGGGTAGAGTGGATATATATATAAATATATTTATATACGTTTGCTGCTGCCGATTGCAACCAAAATACGAGGTGCACATCTACATGTTATAGCGGTCCTATATACAAAATTTCAACGTTCTGAGGCTACTTGTTTTTGAGTTATGCGAGATACGTACGTACATACGTTCGTACAGACACCACAAATACTTTTCGCAATTACAATACTTCCTTTTTACTTCATACAAGGAAGTAAAAAAAGCTTGCATATCTACAGAAATACAGTGTTCCATAAAACAGTAGTAAATGCCAAAAATTGCATTAACTATTGAATGATCAAATTTACGTAATATGAAAAATTGCAAGCAATGTGTTTGAACATGGGATTTACAATCTGTGCACTTCGGATTTTTTTTAAAAAACAAAAACAGATATGTATGCAGAGAGAACAGCAACATGCAAAGTTTGTGTATGACAATTCATGCAATTCTATGATTTTTTTAAGTCACACCAGATTGTTGTGTACATAGAGAGATTGTTGTGTACATATGCATTGTAAAAAAAAAATTACATATGGTTTTCTTGAAAAAAATAAGTGCTTTATTGTAGTTTTTTTTTTTTTTTTTTTAATTTTATTTATTATTTTTTTATTATTATTATTATTTATTTATTTTTATAGATTGATTGCTCTTTTATGGAATTCATAGTGCAGTATGATTTTGAAAATGGCTGTTCTGTTTCGTGTAGTAGTTTGGCAAAAAATTTATACAAATAATAGAAAATAACAAATTTGGCACTATCAGGGTTCATAGCCACATTTTAGTTTTAAAAAAAAAGCACCTATAAGCACTTTTCAAGCACATTTTAAGAAAAAAAAATAAGCACCTGCCTAATTACATCATACACAACTGCATAACCTTAAAAATTAGACTTGTAATTTAAAATATGAGAAATGAAGTACTTATTAAGAGAGAATAAGCATTACCTCAACCATGGAAAATAATTACTTTTTTTTTTTTTGTTTTTAATTTTAAATAATAGTTCAATTTACAGAACTAGTTTACAATGAGAGGAAAAAAAAAAAAAAAACTATGAAGAACTAAACTATATTACAAGATTTAATGATGAAATTTCAGTTCAAAATAGAGAAAATAAATAATAATAAGGCATATTTATTGTATTCGCTTGGAACCTAATAATAAATACAATTTATTTTTCCACTCATATTGATATTTAAATAATTTAAATCTAAATTCTGAACATTTTCTAAATTTTCATTGTATATCAGTTTTCTCTTAACAGATATTGCAAGCAAAGTAATTTAAGTAAAAAAGTGGAACATTTCTGAAATCAGAAGACAGAAATTTGCTTCATCTTTAACAGTAAAAGCTTAACTAACTCGCATACTTGGAAACTGGCGAATATTCGGACAGTCGAGCGTAACTTGAAGGAGCGGTTGGGGGGTAGACTGTAGCCGCTCTTTAGATTTTTCCGCTAAATAAATGCTTTTAACATTTCAATATGTGCATCATATAAAAATAAACCAATCGAACTAAAAAATATTCTGCTTAGCAAGCACAGTAAAACTCTTTTAAGTGCTCATAAACAAATCTCGGATTGAGCATCAAAATTAATTATCTCTGCAAAATATCGCAAATGTTATTGCGCAATACGTGCACTGTAATTCTTCCCTACGTGATATTACGCAATCGGAATCAACAACTGCTGGTATTGGGAGAAAAAAGAACTAAATAACTGGAGTGTTTTTTATTCTAATTTTCAACAGATGGCGTTAAATTTCCGGAATAGAATCATTCTTCGCTTGGGTTGGTAGACCGCAGAACTTTTAGTTCTATTCAATCCAGATTAAAAAGTGACCCCCCTCCCAAAAAAAAAAGGTCCGTTGCTTGTTTTGCAGCGATCTGTAAACAGTTTCAATATTCAAGATTTTGTGGAGAAAGGGGAGACCTCCCAACCTTCGTACTGTATAATGTATTGGCCAAAAAAATGAAACTATTTTGACTATTAGATTACTTTCCCTTTATTAAAGCCATTCCAAACATTATTCCTTAGAAAGCTAATCTGTGTTAAAATACAACCATTTTTGGAAGTTTACTATACTTCAGCAGTTACTGCAACTATGTTATTATAAAACATTCATACATATGCTCATACCATAAGCATAACGATCATAATAAACACGAATATGAACTGACCAAGCAGAACGAGAATGCTAATCTTTTTAAGATCTTGATAGAAATTCAAACGTGTGTAGTATTTGGGTGGGAGGAAAAGAATGCTGAATGTAGCGGAATTTTCTACTGCTTTCGCAATTTTTTGACCAATAGAACGACGGGCACCTGTCTACTCTTCCTGCACACCAAAGGTTATGTTAATGCAGAGAAAGGGGGAAAAGCTATTTCCGGGAGTATGACTCACCATCTGACATTCCATATTAGGAAGAAAAGTTGTTTATTTAGTTTCAGCTTCATTAAAAAAAAAAAAAAAAATACTAAAAGCAAAAAAATAAGCGCTAAAAACAAAAAAATAAGGGCTTTAAAGAAAAAGTAAGCACCTATAAGGGCCTTTATATTTTATTTTCAAATATAAGGACTTATAAGCACTTATAAGGACCGCTACGAACCCTGACTATTCTTTGGCTCACTCCATCCTATTTTTTTAATTAAATTTTAATAAAACTGTTTACATAAAACATGATATCTTTATAGTAAAAGTAGGAATGAAAATAATTGCCTATAAATATCAACAAGAACAGGTCTGTGAAGAGTGTCCCATGACTAATTTTTAACATTAATAATTGTTTTCATAATCAAAATAAGTTTTGACAAAAAAAAAAAAGCTGAACAAAAGATCTATTCTTCAAATTCAATATAATAAAATAAAATTTTCAATATCTTATTTCTAGATATACTTAAGAAACTTCCTTTTATATCACATATCATGAAATTATTGGGAGAAGTAAAAAAAAGCTTAAAATTTTGAAAGCTTATTTTTACTTACATAACATTATGAATGAAAATATTTTATAAATAAAACTAAGCTAATGAATCATTAATCTATCCTTTTCATGAAAAATTTGATTCTTTGTCCCCCATTCCTTGGAGGGTGATTCAACAGACAACACTATCTTGTAAATATTTTTCTTCTCTATACCAGATAAAAAGAAATTTACACCTTTTTACCTTCCCCCTTTGAATTTAAAAATTTCAACTCATAAGAAATGCTCATTTCCTTACAACAAGAAATCTAAAACATGACATAAAAAATTTTATTTAGAAAATAAAGCTTGTGTTTTACTCCATGAACACAGGTAACGCTTTTTAAAATCTGAATTTTTCAATAAGCTAAAACCATATTTGTATTGTAAAAACTATGTTGTATTGTAAAAACTGTATTGTAACAATACAATATTGTAATATACAGTATAACAAAAGTATTAGTTTTCAATAATAATTTAAAATACTACAATTCAAAATCAAAGATATGTTTTGCAATAAAACACAATATAGAAATATTATAGAATGCATTTTCATGGCAGATATATACATAATTCAAGTAAATATGAATAAAAAAAATACTCACAATACTGCTGTGTCTGTGAAATTAAAAATTGATGTATCGGTGAAACTATTGCATAAAATAATAGAATGAACTGTGTGTGTGTGTGAAGTAGCTTCAGCAAACTTTTGTGCTAAAAAACCACCAAGAGAAGCTCCAAATAAATGAACCTACATATAAATAAATACAGAAAGAAACTTTTTAATTTCTAAAAGTAAATATGGTGACTTAGAATAGAACCAGTGAGAAATACAGTGCACTTGCACAGTCAGGCTTTGACATGCCTGGTTATTTCAAATTAATATTTCTAAAATTAAGTAAATTTGTAATTATCATTAGAGCAAAAAGAAGTTCCCTATCTATCTAATTACTTATCCCTACCTATCAATTATATTCAATGTACATGCTCAAGGGTGAAAGTACATAGCAACTCAAGGATCAACTGCAGGATCTATAATAGAAAGTGCTGTATCCATCAATACAATTGGCACATAACATACCTATCCTGGTATTCAATGCAGCCCTAGAGGGAAGTCATTGTTTTCATGTACCAGTGAGGTCATTAATTGTTTTAAACAACAACAATGCTTACAAATCATTAGTTTGGAATTTTATTAATTTCAGATCTATTATTTGATTTAAATTTTAGTGCAAGCTGTTAACAGCCATTATGGGAGAAAATGCATCGACTTTACTTGACTTCTGTAAGATGTATTACATTAAGAAACATATCATGCACTCCAAACAGTCTGATTTCAAACAATCTACGGTGTTCACATAATAAATTAGCCAGACTTTGCCAGGTATAACAATACAGTTAAAAATACAATCAAATCAAATACTAACTAACAACCATATTCTTTATTTAGAAATATAAAATTTGTTAATTAATATAGCTGGTATTTTTACACATGGGTACTCTTAAAGATGCATTTATCTGCTGATAATTAACATTGTAAGGGTACAAGAGTATTATGTTAGTTATCATTCAATCAAACAATTTTAATCAATCTATTAAACTTATGACATTCCAAATTTTAATTTAATAAGAAATGTACCCACTTTTCATGCAAATACAAGGAAGTAAAAGCAAAACTTATTATGTGTATATATAATGCATAAAATTTAGAATATAACATACTTTATGTTAATTGACCACTTATCATCGTCTTGATCTTAATTATGATTTCTTTCTTCAATATTCCTTACCAGAATGAAAATTAGCTATTAGTATAGAAGTAGAAGTATAGAAGAAGTTCTATACCTCAGTGAATAGAAGTTGAGGGTTTTTGAATCTTAAAAGGCTTCTAGCATTCACACATCGTAAATAGAATTTTGCCAACTCTATTCAAAAGTAATTATCTTGGCTTTGCATTAGCCCACAGCCAACCTGTGTGCCAGTAAAATATCCTGCCAGCTCATAGCTTAAGCTAGCATGATACAGGGTTTGAACAGATTTCTGCACACAGAAATTAAGTACTTTTAAGGACCATTAATGAAAAAAATTAAGGACCTTTGACCAAATGGGAACTGAATAAATTCAATTAAAAATATTATTCTGTGCCTGAATTTCATTTTTGTAATACCATCTTAAAAAGAAAATAGATCCCCAAGTAATATGCATTATTACTAAACATGAATTAATTAACATAATTATTAATAAGCTTGAGAATAAAATAAACTTTATACAATTTATCGAGTAGCATTAAATATTTTACAGTTATAATAGTTGGACAGATTTGAAAGAAGATAAGTGACATTTACGTTTTACTAATAGTTAGTTTTATGCTAATTTTTTTTTTTTTTTTTTTTTTAATGTCTCATTTTGTCACATACTTGGTCAGTCTAAAGGTTTAGTAAATAGCAAGTAGATTTTATGTCAAAGGTAGAAAGAGACCTGCTGATTAGAACAAACCTGAAAGGCCTGATGTAGGCATGGTTGGCAAGTGTTGAAAGTTACTCAGGATCTGTTTAATGAAGTTAGTATTAAGCTTTGTGCAGAGTTCCAGGGGTTGTAACCAGTTAATATACTTTAAGGTTCCAATAAGAAATTAAAGCACCAGAGGTGATAAGTTGTTTTGTAGATGCAAAGAACAAGTTTTATTTGAATTTTTACATTTTTGTGTTTTATCTTGTAACCACAGTGACTATTAATGGAAGGCAATAACTCACTTTAATATGTAGAGATAATTTTTAAGGGTAAGCAGTTAGCTATAAATAATTAAATAAGGTAACCTTAGTCATTATGGATTTACATGGCCACTATTCAATTTTATTTTTTAACAATATTTGCTAAAAAGCCCTATTAAAATCAAAATCTAATAAAATTTTATAGTTTAAAATACATCTAATTTATGACATTGATTCTTAAATGATATTAGGACATTGATTCTTAAATACATTAAAAGCTACAAAATATTTATGTTTTGAAACAAGAACACTCAACAAAGTATTTATCCGTGATTTTAATTTGAAGCCTTCCCAGACATTTTGACTAGTTTTATAACCTAACATATGAAAACCAGTGAAAAGCAGCATACTGGAAATTACATAAAACAGAAACATATTAACAAAATTAAAAAATGCATAGAATATCCATAATAAAACACTGAAAATTACATAAACCGTAACAAACATCCACAATAAAACACTTAACTTCCTTTTTTCCCTTTCTTCTGCCCAAGTACACAATGATATGTTTTAACTTTTAAAAAAAAGAGAGTTGCAGAATTCTTAGTAAAACAGAACAATTTGGCACTGCTCTTCATGTATACATTGACCTGTTTTAACTTAATGAAACCACAAGCATGCCCCTCGAATTTCAAAATCGTGCCATTCAAACACTGTGCCATGACATGCAACCATTAGTGGGTTGCCAAATAAATAGATTTTCATAAAAGTCTGAGGCCCTTACAATGGCAACATAGCACATTGGCCAGTGATTCTTGTTAGGGTTGGAAGGATAATCACGAGTATCAAATTTCTTCATTTGCTTAAAAGATGTAGCTCTAATGCTGTTTATTTTACAAAAATTAACTACATATTTGCTTTATTAAGCAGATATTAATTATCATCCAGTTTTTCTAATAATTAGCATACTACAGACTTGCAATAAAAAGTTTAGGGTACTCATATATTTTCACATTGACAGTGTCACCAAAGAGTGCACTCTTTGGTGACACTGTCAAAAACTGTCAATGTGAAAATATATGAGTACCCTAAACTTTTTATTGCAAATAATGGATAAGCATGACATGACAAGACATTCATAAAAACTTCGCTTTGGTTTTATGCAACATTGAACTTGAAAACCAGGTTAGGTTTTGTAAGGAAATTACACACTAACTGCCTTTTCCCTGTTTTTCGCTTGTATTTTGAAAATGTGGATTAAAATTTAGACCTGCCATCTACAGAACAGTTAATAAAGCTTTCAAAGTTACAGGACTAATTATACTGATGCACATACTCAAAACATTGAAAGACTATGGAGTTTCCAAAACAGTGCAATGAAAGGCATTGAAGAACAGAATGACATTATTGATTCCTATTTAAGTGAGTTTACACACCATCGCATTCATAAAGAAGGCTACAGTCTTTTGTTATTTTATACTCCATTAAGAATTTCTGACCACCAAAATGACTGGTGCTAATTTTTATGGATATCTCTGCCAGATAATCTCAGAGTTTGAAATAAGTTTTACATGAAATATTCATAGCTTGTTATCTCTTGATTACCAAATTAAATAAGAGATATCTGTAGTTATCTAAAAAATTAAAGAACAACCTGTTCCTTCAAACTTCCATTAAAATCGCTTACACAATTTTGGCAGAATCTTTGCCAAGCTTCACTATAAACAGCAGAATTTCCAAATACCAAAATTAACTATATATAGATATTTACTAATATTTTTATTATCATTTTACTAATGAAATAAAATGCAGTTTTAAAATACACACAAAATATGAAAAAAAATAATAGTGGTCCCCCCCCCCCCACTGATTTTCAATAAAACATTTTCATTTGCAATCTTAAGCAGAAAAACACCACTTCAAAGAAAATAAAATTTTGATTTACTTTGTCCAAATTCAGATGATCCAGTAATTTGCTAAAACCAGTGACCCATTCTTTCATTGTCCAGTATACAGGATATTGTACCTATGAAGATATTCATAAGAATTATGTATATTTTTAGATTTAATATTAACAGATTTCCAAATGACAAAGGGGAAAAAACTACATATAACTAAATATCAGAAATAAATTGCAAAATGAAAGTATGAAAATGTTTTATATTTTGCTAGAATATATAATATCAAATATGCATGGATTTAAAAAAAAGGAAGCAGTTACAAACAATACACAGTTATTAACTAAAAATTATATAATACAAGACTTAACAAAAGTTATCTCCGAAAAACTTTAAAAAATATATATATTTTTAATGTTTTTTTGTGATTTCTTTCTACATTCTTTTATTTTCCCCCCACTGACTTTTATCATACTTCAGCATTTTAAATATACTTTCATTCATCTTAAATATGAGCATCATGATCAAATAAACATGTTGTATCTTTACATATACAACACAAAGTCTGAGATCCAGACTTGTCAGTACTCTGGTGATTCTGGATTTCGGAATTTTTTGGATTTTAGATCAGTATAAGTTTATTAAGATGGCAAGAAAAAATTATAAAATTCAAAATATGAAATAGTGAGGTACTTATGATCTTAATGGAATCAAAATTTATGGGAAAAAAACTGAATATTTGTTTGCTTTATTAAACATTTCATTCAATGTAAATTATTCGAGTTACTTCACATGATTTTTTGTTCAAAGTTCCCATTGTTCAAGTCTTGTAATTGGTGAATCATGAATTTACACTAAACTATCAATCGAAATTTTTTTACTCATAGCAACCTGCCACTTTCTTCACTACAATTAGTGATATTTTTTGCATTTAATAGCATATTTGATTTTGAGAAGTGTCTCATTTAAGCTAGCTTAATGCTTAATATCCACTATACCAGTGATGGTAAACCTGTCGGCACGCAAAGCCTCATCAGCTGGCATGTGACTAAAATATTACTTCGTATATCAATAATCACAATAAAATGATACCACGGAATTTAAATAAGTGTTTTAGTCTGTTCTTGAACATTTCACTTACTTACCTTTGTTTATGGCTTACTTTTCACTTACTTACTTACGGCACGTTAACACCAACCACAAGATTGTTGCCGAACTTGAAGAAGCTGAATGGAAGGTGTTTATTGAAGGGAAATTCAAGAATTATAATTACTAGAAAGTTGATTTTTGAAAATATCTTTCTAAAACACAAACCATCTAAGAATGGGCAGCTTTCAAATTTCACTGTGCCTGGCAAAACATGGTAAACTGCTCTCCGATGGGGATTTAATCAAAGAAGTTTTGGACATGCCACCCCACTCAAAAAAAAGGTTTTGGGCACGCAGCACCTTTATTGTATTATACACTACAGGCAACATTATCACGAGATTGGCAGCTAAAAATATCTTATTCTGCTACATTTTGTTGTGCACTGTGGAAATTAAGTCTGAATTATATTAGCTATTTATTATAATTATGTTCATTTCCCATATATGTTTAAGGCTCATTGAGACTCAAATAAATAAATTCCCATATATACTTAAGACTTATCTAAATAACAGATCAGCTGTTCTTAATTCAAACAGAGCTAAATGTATTAAATGTAATGATCTATGGACATCATTTATAAAATCAATTTTTAACACACAAAAAGAAATTTCTCCTCGTCAACATGCTTGACACTTCGAAGGGCAGTTGGCTGAAGTCTGTAATTGTTGTCAAGAGTAAGGTCAACATAACAGATTACCATGCTATTAAGCATTCAGTTATTACTATCTTTTTTAAAAAATGTTTTAGGCACCATTGTATGAGTCATTTCTTGAGCTGCCGTTGATAGTCATGTGGCGATGAAAGGAAAAAATAATAATAAAACTAGAACGCAACATCTTAAAAGAAAATGTATAAGCATTTCAATATGAATGAAATCAGTTCTACATATTTTTATAATAATAAATGGGCTACATGATTTCATAAAGTTTACTCCACCTCTGTTTAGAAAAGACGGATGGCAATTTTAAAATTCCACTTCGATGCAGCATGCCAAATAGCAAGGAAGTTCAGTGAAAAAAGCAACTTGAAGGGTACAAAAATTAGCTTTTAAAAATTTTTTTATTAATATCTTGGCTGATGTAAGTTATACAAAGATGAGAATGGTCAAAAACACTTTCCACAATTTTTTTTAATCCGGGAGTACTTCTCTCGAAACTCTCCACCATTCTGGAGTTAATATTACAAACAAACAGACGTGCACAGATTTTAATAGTAATAAAAATTATTCACCTAGTAGGTGTCAGGATAAAGTTATTCGATAATGTAAATCAGCAATAAACTTTGGTAGAATTTTTTGGTTAAGATGTATATGCAACAAAAAGGCAGCCATGCAGCCAAATTTATTGATCATACAGATTTTCAAATTTATTGATCATACAGACAGTGTTTCTTCAACAAGCAGGTGTTTTATTTACTACTGACATGAAGTTAAGAATCAGGACCCTCCACAAGCTTTATTTGAAAAAAAAAAAAAAAGGCTACCTTGCATGCGTGAAGCATTAAGCATATACTACAGCAAAATACTGCTATTGGAATTCAATTCTTTCTCCCTTTTCAAAAAAAAAAAAAAAAAAAAAACTGTGGTAACACGGACATTAGTTTATTCTGAATATCAGACATCCAGATTTCAGACTTAATACTTATATATAGAGATATACATATATATATAGATATACATGTAAATATATATAACTAACACAAAATTATTAACTTTAATCTGGCAGTGGTCCTTTTCATTTTCCCATTTTAATTTGGTCCTTTTCTGTTCTAAATTGTTCATAATAATTTTTCTGGACTGTATCTTTCCATTTCATGCTTGCTTACACAGTCCTCCTAGTTACATAGTCCTTACATTGTTACATACTGCATCAGCTTGTATCCAATCATAAATCCAGAATTTAAACAAAGAAATCAAAATTATAAATACCACTGCTACTACTGGACAGCCCTTTTTTCCACTCTGCTTTGCTAGTGCTAAGATGGGTCGCTTTGCTGCTCCACTTCATCTTTTGTCTAAGATGTAAGCTGTGTAAAATTGTGGATCAACTTGAAAAGAATTTATGATGCATCTCGCAATCATAAATGGCAGGGAAACGAATCAAGCAAAGAATAGAGGTGACTTATTCTTTGCCTCAAGTTTCACGTCGCCTAATTGTTCATGACCGCAGAACAAACCTTTCATTCCTGGTCGATACCGGCTCTGATGTGTCCTTACTTCAGCAAATAATTCTCAAAAACGGAATTCTCCCCAACAAACACTTTTCGCTGCTAATTCTTCCACTATTCATGTTTATGGTCAAAAAACACTTTCTTTGGATTTCAAATTAAGATGACAGTTTACATGGACTTTTCTTATAGCAAATGTTAGTACGCCCATTCTTGGAGCAGATTTTCTCCATTTCTTTGAATTGGTGCCGGATCTCCGAAACAAATGTCTCAAAGATTTAAAAACATAGTTTAAAACAGTCGGCTGTGTGAAAAATGCAAGCATTTATTCGGTAAAAACTGCGCTTAGTGATATACCATATCACAAAATTTTGAAAGAATTTCCTTCAATTACTAAATTACCAGATCCTAACCAACCTGTTAAACACAACACTGTTCATTATATCATAACTAAAGGTCCACCTGTGGTTGCAAAACCTCATTGGTTAGCTCCAGATCGCTTAAAAATAGCAAAACAAGAATTTCAAATTATGATGCAATTGGGGCATTTGAGACCTTAATTATGCAGTAATTATGCATCCCCACTTCACATGGTTCCAAAAAAGGGAAGTCTGGAATGGAGACTTGTAGGAGATTATCGAGCATTGAACGCTCAAACAATAAAAGACAAATACCCTATTCCATGCTTAGCCAATTTTACTGCTGCATTGCACAGTACTAAAATTTTTAGTCATGTTGACGTGATTAAGGCATACCATCAAATACCAATTAACCAAGCCGACATCCACAAAACCGCCATGTGCACACCATTCGGTTTATTCAAAAGTACCCATATGCAATTCGGCTTATGCAATGCATCCGCGACTTTTCAACGTTTTATAGATGAAGTCACGCGGGATTTAGAAGGTGTTTATGCTTTCGTCGATGACTTGTTCATAGCCTCTAAAGATTCTAAGGAACATTGCAGGCATTTGAAAGCTTTATTTTTCAAACTTCAGGAATATGGACTTTGCATAAATGTTTCAAAATGTACCTTTGGTCAAACGTCTATTGATTTCTTAGGTTTTCACCTTAGTGAAAACGGAATTGAACCTCTTCCTGACAAAGTCAAATGTATTTTAGATTTTCCTCAACCTACCACTTTTACTCAGCTTCACCCATTTTTAGTCATGTTTAACTTTTACAGATGTTTCATACCTAAAGCAGCACATATTCTTTCTCCTTTAATAAAATTGTTAGAAGGCTATATTAATAAAAAGAAATCTCATTCTCATGTTCAGGATTCACCCCCACAATTAAATTGGAATGAGAATGCTGAACAAGCTTTATTGCTGCCAAAAATGCCATTGCTCAGGCTACCCTTTTGAGACACCCTATTCCCGGAGCCCAGCTAAGCATCTGGGTAGATGCCTCAGACGTCGCAATAGGCAGCACACTTATGCAGTTGTCTCAACAAACATGGGAACCTATAGCATTTTTCTCTATGAAACTCAATAAAAGTCAACAGAAATGGTCCGCGTACGATAGGGAATTATTTTCAATTTAATCTGCAATTACGAAATTCTGACACGTGTTAGAGGGCAGAAATTTTATCATTTATATGGATCAAAAACCGTTAATATACACTTTTAAAACAGAACTCTCATAAAATGTTCACCTCGACAATTGCGCTATCTAGATTTTATTTCTCAGTACTCTACTGATATTAGGCATGTGCAAGGTCCAAAAAACGTTGCTGACGCTCTTTCAAGAACCGAAATTGATTCCATAACAAAATCTAAATTTTTGGATTTTAAAAAATTTTCGGAGGCTC